CGTTCGTCTGCACGACTCGTGAACGTGCGTCCGGGCGAAGCCAGTCGACGATGAGTCGAAGACATTCAATTTATTTTTATCCGATTACCCAAAATGCTTTCTTCGCTAGAATACCACCTTCGTACGTTGGAATAAAGTGGAAATAAAAGATATCTATATAAATAAAATACCTAAAAATATATATATATATATTATATATTTTTTCAAAAATATAAAAGGATATTTGTCATCTGCACTTTACGTAAATATTTTATCCTATGCAAATGCGTGACCATTTCATTAATCTGATTCAAGTCTATCAGCATTTCGATAAAGCGCAAAGTGCATGATTAAAATTTCATTTATATTGAGATCCATAGCCAAATGTCATTCAGACTTAAATTAAATTAGTGCTGAAAAACGAATGAAATCATGTTTAAGACAGGTCTCTTTTGATAGCGCCGTATCTCGACGATCACGACTGAATTTACTTTAATTACTGCGAGAGTGAAAAAAGAATCATCTATCTACCAGCCGTTTGTCTAAGGCTTTATCTTCAACTCCGGAAACTTCTGAAACAAGAGGTGTATTTCAACGCTAATAGCGGACATATAATCGAAGTTTCGAGACGCGAAACTTTTATTCGTGCTTAACGAAAGGTTTTTTGTTTCAAGCGGTTTCCCTCGAAAAATCAATACCGCGCACGTGAAAGACATAAATGTTTCCATCGCGGCGCGCGGCAGAGGAGCTAAAATTACCGTGTTTCCGCGGTAATCGGTTCGACTTTCTCCCTACTATGCTGCCAGTGTCACGGGCGAACGTGAGGTAAAAGCCGATTTTCTCGCCGCGCCGCGTTTCGCGAAAGAGCGCGCGATTCGCGAAATCGTGCAGCCGTTCTATTTTTCGATCGACGACGTCAACGACGGCGGGGGAATATGGGCGTCGTAAAAGGAAGCGCAAACGTCGTAAACGGAACGGCGCACGTCTCTCGTCGGGCACATCCGTTAGATTTGTAAGCAAGCGATGGCATAAAACCGTCGGCGAAGACATGACCCCGTTTCGCAACGAGCGATCTATCGGAGAGCGTCGATATAACGGATGACGCATCCTATTTACACGCTGAATCTTCCTCTCGATCATCTGACGCCGAGTTATTTCCGCCCCATCCGTACGACATCCTGCCCGATCGGTTATTAGACTTATCCAGATCTCGATCTCGAAACAGTTCGGCGATTCTCGTGTGTGTCTTATCGATGAGCTCGAATATCTCGTGATCGGTTTCGCGCCGCGAAATTTCAGACGACGCGAAACTTCCCGGAGTTATAGAACTTGACGAGAAATTTTCCCGTGGAATGCATTTCTGCGGGGCAAGCAACGGTAGGAGGAAGAGGGAGGGTGTCTCGCAGGGTTCCCGACAAAGTTCAGAGGTTGCATCGGCGCATCGCGGACTTTTATGGATGAGATCGTCGTATGCGCGATCGTACGATTCTTCGACGTGAAATGTTCGTCGAAAACTTAAAAGTAACGGGACTCGATAGAAATTTCCTCGCGGAGTGTATTTCCAGAGAATCGAGATAACGAAATTATAATAAACGAGTATCTCTTTAGAGCAAGTGATTTAACAACCGAGCGTCTCTCTTTAGCAAGCAACATATTGTGCGAATTTATTTTACAAAAGTACCAGCGTGACTATAGATCCGCGCGATGTCAGGCTATAAATTGCTCGTGAAATCTGAAATATATAACGTCCTCAGTTGCGACAGGATTAAAGAGGTGTCCCCGCGACCGTCGAAAATCGGTGGTCGCGCCGGATTCGCTATCGACCTCGGAAGATCGCGGATCAGCAAGTCGACTCTCGTGGAATGCACATCGTCCATCCAGGAGATACCGCACCGCGAAATACATCAGGTTGAAACGAACGGGGAGAATGGTCGCGCAAATGAAATTCCGCGCTCGCGATTTTCATCGGAGTCTCTCTCTCTCTCTCTCTCTCTGACCTTTTCCTCCTTTTTTTCAGCCAGCTTCTTTTATTTCGCCCCGTCGACAGAACACGTCCGCGGCTGCAGCGGAGAGCATTTCCGGTCGGCGAGGCCCGGTCGACGTAGCGCGCCGGCGAATATTTAAGCGAGAGGAAAACTAACTCTCTCTATATCCAGCGAGCCCTTTCCCCCATGTCTCTACCTCGCGCTGAGGGAGGCACGCGGGGGTGGCAGTGCGGTTTGTTTGCGGAAAAAAGTCACTCCGTCGGGAGAGCCGCAGCTGCGCGCATCACATTGTTTGCGCGGGGGAGGACCGGGAGCGCCAGGATGCTACGAGGGGAGAAGAAGAAGATGGCATACGAAGAGAGGGGAAAGAGAGAGAGAGAAAGAGAGAGAGAAAGAGAGAAAGCAAAAAGCGCCGAGCACACACGCTCCAAACTTCGGCAAACATCTAGCGGACAGCCGCCGATCTTTTTCTCCCTCCTCCCTCCCCCTAGCTCTTGATAGCGCTGGAAAAAGTTCCCGTCGCGCGTTATGAAAATGTTTCTCACCCTCCTCCCCCCCCCCTCTTATCGGCTCCAGCCAGAATAGTAGCGAGTAGCGAGAGCGTTTGCACGCGTGCATTCGTGCGCTAAGTAACGCACACGGTGTGGCGTAAACGCACATTTCGTAAGATAAAACCTCTTTGTTCGGAGATTTTTCCCGTATATCCCCATGATTTTCCCGCGTAATGCACGGTCAGAATGAAGCCTACATCGAGTTAAATAAGCTCAAAGAATCGGCCGCGTAACCTTTAAATCCGCAAAATTATATGCCGGCAAAGCTTCGTATACAGTTTCCTCTGTTACTATACTTACTCTCTCCCCTCCGACTGATTTTTGCCGACGCAATTCTCAAACTATAGGCATACTTCTACGTTATTATCCACTCGTTTATTCGCACACGAAACCATGCAAATATCCGACTATTCTCCCCGCGAACGCGGCGGCGCGGCGGCGGTGTGTGTTTGCAGAATTCCGTACGAGTAAAATAGTACAAAGCTGACTCGCAATTGCACGCCGCGCGTATATACAACGGGGCCCCGCGCGTACTGAGTGGAAGTCAGGCAGGGAAAACTAAATAGACGCGGCCCGATGGAAAACACGCGCGGCATATTATATTGACCGTCCAGGTCGCGGATATACGTGAAATGCAATAGTACCTATACGGCTTTCTCCCTTTGATTAATTTTGGTAATTAATGACATTTACTCGGTGGATCGAGTTAACTTTGTGCCCCTATATAAACGTGAATTTGTGGTGATAATAATTTGCAACAACATCTGACTCTCTCCCCCCTCCCTCCCACTCCTCCGCAATAGTTTATTACAGAAAATATATATACGCGATATTGGCAGCATAAATTATAGTTTAATCAGGAAGTCCAGATGTAAATTGGTATGAGAAACAAAAGGAATACAATCACAGTCAGAAGCGACCCCTCAGCGTGATCGATTGTGCAGTATTTTTATTTGGTACACACAAGATTGTGTAGTTAATCTTTCATTAAATCATTTTTACTGAGAGCGTAATTATTAATTCTCATTAGAGGGAATGCGTATTTAATCGCGCTATTGTTTCGCTACATCGAATTTTCTATATTAATTGCGGATTAGCATGTCATGTATATTGCCTCTTATGTACTACAAGTTAATTAAAAATTGAAAGCTAATCTTTTGTAAGTATATAGAAAACGAGAAAATATATAGAGACGACGAATTACCCGCATAAACTATTAAATTAATTAAAGTTTAATTGATTTTTATCTCTCTGTAAAGGAAATGATTTCTATCTTTCTTTGTGCAGAAAGGAAATGATCTCTGTCTCTCTCTCTCTCTCTCTCTCTCTCTCTCTCTCTCTCTCGCTCTCACTCTGTGAAGGATTTTGTAAAGGAAAAGCGGCAGTCACTCTTAAATAATGTTCATGGGAACGGCCCTATATAATTTTCCCTTTCCCGTCGACTTTTCTCATGCACCATTCGACCTCGCACCACAATTCCCGCTTTTCCCCCGGCAATTCGCGATCTAAGCCGCAAAATTCAGTCGCGATATATTCGCCATCGCGAATGAATCTCCGCCGTTCGATTCCTTCGCCGAGAGAGACGCCGATAATGTCCCACGACTTCCTGACCGTGGCCCGCTTTCTCCGTAAAGTCGCGCGATGGGCTCAACCCCGTACACGCGTGACAGACCGGGACTCGTATAATCCGCCGGGAATACAAATGCATCGTCAGTGCGGCACGATTGAAAACTCCATCGAATTCGCCGGCGTGGCACGAAAACGCGCGGTTGCGAGCGGTGCCTCGTAAATACGCCTCGTAAAAGCAACGCTACTGCACGGTCGCGCCGCGCGCTCCGAATTGGGACGCAGCTGCTGTTGCCGGCCTTAAAACTTCAACGTCAGGACGGCGCGGGCTGTCGCCCCCCGACCCCGGGTCGCCCCCCTCGTCGCGGACACTCTCGAAATTACCGCAAGCTAATACTCATACGGACTAGTAGAATCCGCGTGCAACGTGCCGTGGGCAACAGCGATAGAGGATTCTGAAGAGGAAACTCGAGTGCAGAGAATTGCCACTATCCCCGTATATAGCTTTCGTGTCGTTAAACGTTAAACGACATTTTGTAAAACTTTATGAATAACAGTATATCGCAGCCGTATATAAAAGGGTTTTTTTTTAAAGCGTACAAGATGAATAATTAATATTCCAGCATTAAAATATATGGTTAATACAAAAATGTAATTTCAATATAATATTAGTTACATCGATGAATTATTGAAATGAATTTAAATGTTGTCAACAGGAGAAAAGGCATTAATATGCAGCAAAAACAACATTTTGCACAAGTAATTTGTTATTTTTTTCGGTGGAATATTTTGAGATATTTTATCGTCATGTGTAGTTATCAACAATTAGTCAGACAGAGCATGTACATATATTATAACATCCATGTCACATCGAACGCTTTAGTTTTCAAGCGAAAGCAAATTCTTTGACTTTCCTTACCCATGATTTTTCAAGCATTTCCTTGCTTTGCAACCGTTTCTCGAAATTCTGGAAAAGGCATAGCGCGTCGTGAGTAATTTATAGCAGTGTCTCTTATTCGGAAAATCAGAGCGCTCGTAATGAGAGAGACAATTTTGTAGCTGAAGGCAAATTGACAAATTGCTAAAGGCAATTATATAGGGACCGTCAAAAATAGCCCGTGATTCGCGCAGTTGTTATCCGCGATAAATCCATCAACGCCTCTCCAGCCCCTGCAGGAATCAAATCCTGGGATATAGAGCGATGCGTCTCGACATTGATTTCATTAAGTATTGATTTTCCGGAGGGTGTGGATTCGGGGCCGAATATATGAATGCTGATGGCGAGACGTAGCTCGAGCTCCTATCACACACTGTGCCGCAGACTTCGTGCATAATGTACAGCCTGCCTCGAAGCTGCTTATGTACCTACTTATCGGTGTCTTATCATCGTCCGACCGACGTAGCGTCGCGAGCGAAATGATCCTGTTCGCGAACGTGTCTTGTTTGCCCACGAAATTTTCACACGCCCGAAGAAATATAACTAGAGCGATAACTCGCGTCCTTCGACTAGATTACGTCAGTTTGTTAGCCTATACTACCTGATACAAGCGCTATTATCGCTACCAGATATGTGCGCTATTAGCGTACAAACACACTGTTATTTCCACTTGCGAGCGCGAACGCGAGTTTTAAACTCCTCAAATAACACTTACACGATAGTTCAGCAGCTTACCCAAATTGAGAAGGATGAAACTTTAATCTATTCAAACACGATAACAAAAGATGTATCGTAAATATTCATCAAGCTTAATGGAGCGTCCTAACAAAATAAGGTGGCGTAGAGATTCCGAGAGCGAAAGAGAAGCCAGACGGTAAACGCACGCGTCGAAAACTGCGTCGACGTAAATTTCCTCCATCAACGGCGGACAAACGGTTCGTTTCAATCGTCGGTCCGGGGCATTTCGCAATATTTTTATGGCCGTGTCCGCGGCGCTCGTCACTCCCACGTCGAACGGTTATATCTCGGAACAACACGGGCCATTAATTGAAAAAATTCCGGCCGGCCGACGCGGCGCGACGTGGCGCGGCGCGGTGCCGGTGGATCGGCGCGGACGCTCGTTTATGCATTGTGCGCCGGCGGCGAAAAGGAGAAATAAAGCTCCTCTTCCAGGAGCTCGATTCAAATTAAACTCACTTGGAGGTTAATGCGGTATGAAATGAAAATTGTAAATCGCGCGGGCCGCGGCAATGAAAAAGTTTCGCGCGGCCGACCGCGCGTCGATGAGGTTCGTTCACGAGCGCGAGCGAACGATATTTCTTCCTCGTTCTTGCGCAAACACCCGATGGTCTGTGCACGCTGCTTTTTCTCCATTCTCTCTCTCTCTCTCTCTCTCTCTCTCTCTCTCTCTCTCTCTCTCTCTCTCTCTCTCTCTCTTCATTTGAAAGCGTCAAACGAGCGCAATTTCGTCGCGGGATATTTATCGGCGTTGACAGTTCCACGCTATATCCCTTCGTTACAGTTCCCTCCGCGTTTTGCCGCGAATTTTTCATTCAAACGATGCTAAAATACGCATTTCTCTCCGTACGCAGCGTATAATACCGCGAAGACCGCCCTTTATATCAGAGAACCAGAAAATTTCCTATACGCAATACGCCTTTGCCTTAAATCTGCAATCTTAATTAGTCTTGCTAATCGTCGAACTAATTTCGAAACGATAAAGCTAATCGAACGATCGATCGATTTATCGATTATCGTTTGCAGTAACTTAACTCCGTAATCAGTGAGATGGATGGGGAATATTACTCGGCGTGGTGTTAAAGCAGCATCTCTCGATGCACGGAGCTCGATAAATGGCCGCAGTCAAAACGATCGGCGGGATCTTACGACGATCGGCGCACGTGCGTGACGAGCTGGAAGGAGAGAACGGGACGAGAGAGGGACGGTTCGTTCGCCGCGGCCCTTTCTTCTCGGCCCCTTTTCTCCCTCGTTCCTCCCCCCGCCGCGCGTCCCGCCGCCCTTTGCGCCGCGTTACGAAATCACGAATGAATCTGGAACTGGATGCGCGCTGTCATCCCACCTTCTTGCCAGCACGCGCGGCACTTTCACGAGAAGCTTTTGGCAGCTGACGGCTGCCCCGCGGACTTGACGGCCGGCCGGCTAAATTTGGAGGGCCCCGAGAGAAGGTGATGTATAAGCTCTTCGCTGTCGCGCACGTGTTTTGCCTGTGAACATCGCGCGTGTAAGAGACACAGCCGCTGGGATATACATATATATATATAAATACACGGCTCGCGCGCGGGCTGAGAGGGTGAGTGAGTCATCCCCTTTGCGCGCGCCGATGCTCATTCATGATTTTTTTTCTTTCCTTCCGCGCTCGGGGACCGATAACCACGGAAAATACCCGTGCTGTTATCATAACGACGCCCCGTGACATAATAAGATGTAACGACGAAGAAAACGAGCGCCGATCGATTTTATGGGCACGATAAAAAGTGCAACGCCGTAATCTCGAATTTGAACTTTGCGAACATTAAATATATTTTCATATTTTCAAACTCTAACAAACAACATGGAAATAAGTTCGAAACGTATTTCAAGTAAAAAATTGAAGATTAGTGCTAAATAATTCTCCGATGTTTTTACGAGAAAAAAAATAGAAAACCTTACAAAGGTAGAAAATGTAGATCAAGTATGTAAAACATTTTAAAGTGTACGAATTATTAAATAGAAAATTATCTGTTCAAGAGTAGAGGAAAAAATAAACGCGAAACAACAGATAATCCTGTAATTGATTTACGTCACACTCGAAAAAAAAAAGATTCATCGGCGGGCAAAGATCGCTTTAACCGTGTAACGCAACCTGGCAAGCTATAAAGAGAGATTATTCATGATGTCCCAACAACGGGGGCGCGTTTCGAATGTTCTTACACATCCGTCGCAGGGCTGGATGCCGAAGAGATTCAGAGCAAACGGGAGCAACAATGCGATCCGAATCAGACGAAACGTCCGGGTTTCTTTCGACTCTCAAAGAGAAATCTACCGTACTGTATGCATGCCTGACAATGCCGGCACGTGGATTCAACTGCGTATACCTTACACAGAACAGTTTCACTACATGGCGTTCTGATCCAAGCCGGAGATCGAAAGAGGCATGGCAAATAGAAATGCATTGTATCTTGTGTGCATGACATACACTTTAATACGCAGCGGAGTATCGTGTTTTTAGCTTGGAAAATAGAAAAATATACGAAGCATCTCTGTAGCGATTGTAAAAGGAACATTTAACAATGTAAGAGGAACTTGCAAAAATATCACCGTTATTTCAGCCCACATTGTTTATGGAAGGAGTTTTAAAAATGGCTATTTAAAAAAAAAAGTGATATCATTCGGGGGATCAGGGATATTTTTCTGAGGTAGGAAGAATAATGGAAAACAAAAAGTAGAGCAAGAGGTAATGGAAGAACCATAAAAATTGCGATTTTTCGTAAAAGAACCGATGAAAACTGTACGGTAAGCAGGTGCACGTGGTGAATATACGATGTGGATCGCCATTGAAATACCTATTCTCACATGTGGCGGATAGAAGTAATAAAAAAAAAAGTGTCGTAAAGTGATATAAACGGCCACCCGATGAAACGCGCTAAATATACGCGCCGCTCCGCGCCGAGGTGGTTGATAACTCCCACTGTTTTTAATCTTAATGCCACGTGATTTACTCCTCGTGAACTCTTGCACTTTGGCGACCTTATAAACGCGCGGCCCGCGCGCGCTCCCGCTCGCGCATAAAACACACCGACTGTGTGCACAAAGGGGTTTCGAGAGTCACTTAACCGGCTTGATAGTGCGACACAATTGCATTAAAAAAAGTCAGTCCCGCCACTCTTCGCCTTCGTCCACACGCATTCACGCTTTGCTCCAGTAAGTGCCCTATACGCGCGACGTCCGTGCATGCCCTTTATTCTTCGTTCTCCGTGCGCGCCGATGACGAGCAAAACGAGAGAGAGGGACGTCTGTTTTCCAAACAAGAAACTTATAAGTACTCCGAATCAGGGAAGAATCGGTTGATTAAAGCATCGGCTGATTTATCTGCCACGCGATATACTATATATATATATATATTTTTTTTTTAACCGCGCGGCGCAATAACGTCCACAACTGGCCCCTTGTATTCTCGGTGCCTCAATTAAAGCCGTTGCCAAGCCGATCGCCCGCGGCTTCCTTGGAATCGCTCCTGAATCGCCACAGTCCATGATTGTCGAGAAACGAGTACGTGGAAACGAGGCTTGATTTTGGCACGGGAGCTCTCTAGCTCTAACGATATCCATCGCGCGCACGGAGCCGAGCAAAACGAAATAAGCGATGCCACGGTGCTCCGGTATTTTCGAATCCATGGGCATGGGATTCGCAAACACAACCCCGTTATTTTTAGAAGATGAAAGGGAAGGCAGAGCCTCGCGTCCGAGCGACACGCGAGATGGCTCGGAGAGCTTATACGCAGATCGTAAACCGTACGTGAGCTTTCAAAATTTCGGTTTTATACCAAACATTTTCTTTCGGAGACATCGAAAACGAGGAAGGGTTCGCGTCTTTCGACTAAATTCGCGCCTATTGAGAAATAAATGCATATATTTTTTTCTCATAAAAACGACTAAAAATCTGAACATTGTTCGTAAAATATAAACTTTCTATTAACAAAAAAATAGTAACAACCGATGTAAATGCATAGACATTTAACAATTTCATCGCTGCGTTTATCTATTTAATATTCTCAACAAAGCTAATATTTAAGAGAATATATTGACTGGAATCTTACAACAAAGTAACCATTTATTATGTAAATTTGCGTGAAAGGCGATATGAAGGTAAAACTATGACTTCTAATAATGAAATTCTTAGGTTCTTAAAAATAAATGCGTAAGAGAAATTGATAGGACGCAAGCTCAAGCGTGCAGTTTACGGCCTCAGTTCGCGCTAGGAATTTTCTGAATCCTTTTCAAGAAATGCCCTTTTGACAATAAGAATATTAA